TTACAAAATACAATGATTATAACTTGGATATATCGGAATACAATCATCTATTATAAAGTTAAATCTATATTGTATCATTATATAGGCATTACGTATAGGGAACAATGAAGCATTTTTTTTTGTTCTTTTAAAAAACAATAACTTTTCATAATGTATAGTGTGAGAAAGTTTGTTTTTAAAATCATAGAAAGGAAACCAGGTATTTTACTATAATATAGTCTAACTGTTTCTGTCAAGGCATTTTGTGTGTGTGTTTTTTTTCATAGAAAAAGAAAGGCTATTATTGCTGACGTGAAAACATCTTCTATTTGATGATGACGTATAATAAACAATCACCTGTGACAAAAATTATTATAATGCAATAACCGGGCGCACGTTCGGAGTTACGCCAACAAAGAATCGAACGCGACGCGACGTCACCACCCTTCAATTAAAGGGCGGTGGTCGTCGCGCCGCGTCCTGTTCGATATAGGACTCATAGTGACTTATACAACGCGTTTAAAATACATTTTTTGTTTAGATGAAATTCAAACACACGACGACCACCGCCCTTTAACAGTTGTAAAAGAGAACGTGACCATTCCAAAGCATAAATGAAACAATATGCGAAAAAGATGCGCTCGTAAAACTACAATAGAGCTGACGAGACATATTGTGCTGCACCCCTCATTAACTATTTAGATCACAAAGTGGCTTGGGGACAAACCGAATGGGGTCACATACTAGGCGCACCTTGAGAGGCTATGAGCATGTGTGTTACGTACCTCTGCCATTGAATACTTCGTGTTGTACGGTGTCAATTTCACGCCCGCTGAAAGCGAGTGCGTTTTTCACCAACGCTGTCCTTATAGTGTCGTATCCGTTGAGGATTACCACCAACCGACGTCCTGTTTTTAGACCAATTATATTACCATATGTTTTTGATAATTTTGCCATCGCTTTGTATGGTTCTTCTACGATTATGCTCGGTAAAGATCCAATGATTGGCCATCCGAATGGACCTGGTGGAAAGCCTTGAGGTCTATGCAACCAGAAATAAACCACTGTGAGTGTCAAAATCAAGACACATAACAGTAGGTTTATTTCGTCGAAAGCTAGAATTGTGATGCTCATGCTGTCTAGACGTGCCAACTGAACAATGCAGTGGTAGTGGTATGTACACTGGCAGGTTGAGTAAATCTCTAAGTCACGTGACATAGGTATAAATAGTGCCAAACTTGTATTTACATGTTAGTGATTCGGGTGTCATCTTGAATGACGAATATTCCAGTGTATTACATTCAAATATATTAGAGACGAATTATTTATATACGGACACGAAAACGTCCGAGTGGAATTACAATTCATAATAAAAGTATTATGTCTGTGGGAAAGTGTGTGGCATTCACACATATTGTGTGTGGGAGAAACAATCTAATTTTAGACTACATGTATATGTAGAAAGTATCTAATAATATTCAACAATTTTTTGATGGTCTCTGACAACGTCAATTAAACAAAACAGTAAATCACTACTATCATTAATAATATGTGTTGTGTCTAACTCGCTCTAAAACCGTCGATTTGAAAACGAGTTTTCCAATGCGTTTAATAACGTTTTTTTTTTTTTTTTTGACAAAATATGTTCTTCTGTACTGTGCAGATTTTTTTTTCGAAAAAGAAAATGAGTTTACAAGTATCTTTTATTATAATACCATGCGTTGCAATGACGCGTGTTATTCGTTGATCTGTACCACGTGGTGTCCAATTATGAGACGATAGCTGGACACAGTCTGGCAGTTGCGGATATAAAATCTTAATTCCTGAATGATTGAACGGCTATCTGGTCCCATACTCCTGTATATACCCGTACACTCTACGATAACAGACGGAGTTTAAGGCTTTTCCAAACACCTGGTTTCAAAACTACTAGCTTTGAGGCACCAGTGCAGTCTAAGCAACGACAAAATTCCTAATCATTGTTGTTAGATATGGTTAAACATAATGTTTTCAATTTAATCTTTATGTATATATTTTGGAATTTATACATGCGTGGATTTCCCACGTCTTAGTTATGTCTACTATTGCT